CCAATAGCACACTGACCCAGAACAACATAACACTTATGATGTTATTAGGATGGAAGACGCAGTCCCAGTGGCCTTTCCATTTATTCCCACACTAGGGCAAGCAATGACAGAACCGTGGGAATTACCAGACATCCTCATCCAGCATCTTGGCACCTCGGATCCATGTATAAGGTCAAATAACGGGGTTTTCCCTTTCTCTTAAGAAATCCATGCCTAAATTCAGTGGTCATTGAATCTACTCAGAGCCGTCAGCAGGAGCATACTGCATCAGCTGATCAAGGAGGGCACAAAACTGACATGATGTCTCGCTGAATATACTCAGCAATGGGACTTGGACTATTAATTTCAAGTTATGAGGCTACCATGGCTCGCTACCAATACTTCCTCTGGGAGAAGGTGGAATCCCTCACTGCATTTCTACTGGACCAGGGGTTGGCAACCTTTAACATTCAAAGATCCATTTGGGCCCATTTCCCACAGAAAAGAAAACACCGGGAGCCGCAAAACCCTTTTGACATCAAAAAATGAAGATAACACTGCATATATCATTTTTTACCTTTATGCTATGTATAAAAAACTATAGTGTGTTGCATTTATGAAATCAATGAACTGCTACAGAGAAAACACATTTTTATTTCTGCATGCAACAAAAACATTTTGAACTCCGAAAAAAAAAGACTCTGGGTTGAAGGTTACTTTCAAATAAAATACTCATCTATTTGAGTCCTCATATTTATGAAATAAAAAGCCGAACTTAAATTATCCACCTGCAGCAAACCAAAAATGCCGTCTGTGTGCCCTCATCCTGTTATCATGTGTACTGGAGGGTGCAACCTTAATTTAAAAAGGACTAATTGATACTTTCATACAGTAAGTAGAGTTTCTGCAATACAACAAATATAAATAATAGTCTGGTGAAATATTGAACAAACATCCCTCTCCCAATGTAATAATGTTGCTGGAATTTTTATAAGGATCTTCTTAAAACAAGGAAGTAGATCTATAGCTTCATTATGATTTAGCTGCAGCTCTTGTTCAGTCACTAAAAACTGTTATTTTTAATCTTACATTATAAACTAGTAGGACTCCTTTCTTATATTTTGAATAGGAGTACAGCTTCCTGCAGAGTCAAAGTCAGTGCTAAAGGGCTGCATGCATTAAACAGCAAACCCCTTAAGTTCATCAGCAGTAAAAGGAAATGAATCTACCTATGTACCATTAAGCATTCGGTTTTCTTTTCTTTTCTTTTCTTTTCTTTTCTTTTCTTTTCTTCAATTTATCCATGGTTGGCCTACCAGGGGAAAAAGTTCAGTAAATTGTGAAAAGCTCAGTAAATCAGCACGTATCGCAGACTGGCGGCTGTGCCGGCATGTGTTGCAGATCGGCGGCTGTGCCAGCATGGGTCGCAGATCAGTGGCTGTGACGCGTATTTTGAGCGACGGAGCTGCAGCAGAGGGATTCAAGAGCCACATGCAGCTCCGGAGCTATGCGTTGCCGACCCCTGTACTAGACCAACAAAGGAATTTGGCAAGGGTCTTCATTGTAGAAGCCATTCAATTGTCCAAGCAACAACTGGCAACGGTGAGACATGTCGACTGGGCTTCCAGGCCAATTGTTGGTGCAGTGGCTCTTGGGCATCATGCTTGGCTACGTGCAAGCAATCTAACACAACAGAGCTACCTCAATGGGCATCAGTTGTTTGGCCAGAGACCAATTTGATCCTGCTGTACCAACACACCTCAGTACCAGCCTAGCAATAAAAGACTCAATACTGACAAGCACCAACGTTGACAGGCAGTGCAAATCAGTCCTCAAACAACTTCACCTTTCCCATTTGGGGATCAACTAAAACATCATCTCTCCATATGGGAAACCATCACATCTGATTGGTGGGTTCTGTCCATGATAGAACATGGATATAAGATCGAGTTTGAAACTCAGCCTTATCTCGGAATGGTTCGTTGAACATCACTCTCTTTGGTTCTACAAGTAATCGAAATTCTGATGCACAAAGGAGCAATCAGAAGATAGACTGCTCAGAGACACAGCACGGTTTCAGGATACTTCACTGTACGGAAGGATGGAGGTCTGCATCCCATCTTGTCCTGCATGGAGTGAACCATTTCATCAAGACCAAGAAATTTAGGATGACCACACTACAAAACATCCTACTATTATTGCCTCCATGCTTGCTTCTACAGATTCTATACTGGTAGCTTGTTGATTCCAGCTTAACTCAGGGGATGCCATTCCGACCACTGGACCCGACTGTCATGCTCTATACTGATGCATCTCAAAACGGATGCATTTTATGCTTAATAAAAGCTCATTATGCTTCCCACCAAAGCCAAGCAACTTGGCATGGGCATGAAAGAATGAGACACATCAATAACCTGGAACTGTTACTTTTCAAAGCACTTTGTTCTTTCAAAACCATCCTGATGGGCAAGACCATGCAAATAGCAACAGACATTATGTCAACTGTCTTTTATCTGAACAAGCAAGGAGTAATGAAATCAGTTCCTTTAGCCCATCTTGCACTTCGTCTATGAGACTGGTGCATCAATCAAGGGATATGCATTCAGGCAGTTCATCTGGCTGATACCAAGAACACGGAAGCAGATTCCTTGAGCTGTTACACATCTAGAACTCACAAATGGGAGCTCAACCGGATAATCTGCCAACAACTGTTCACCCAACAGGGAACTCCCACAATAGATCTTTTCACTACTCAACAAAACAAGATTTGCAACTTGTACTGCTCCATAGCAGGCATAGGAGAGGACTCTCTGGGAGATACTCTTACGATCCCATGGAACGCTTTCTTCTATGCATTCCCTCCAATCCTATTAATAACAAAGACTTTGACAAAGATCAGACACGACAAATCAACCTGCATACTGATCACTCCATGCTGGCCTTGTCAAGCGTGGTTTCCAACCCTTCTACAACTATTGGAAGGGAGATACCTGCACCTTCCGAAGATCTCAGACCTCCTCTCTCAACAGTATGGCAGGATCCTAAACCCAGATCTCTTGATGCGGAAACTAACTGCCTGGTTGATACGCTAAACCCGGTACTGAACAGCCTCCATCCAGACATACAATATGTTCTACAGTCAGCCCTCCAGCTGAATACTTGACGGTTGTACACTTCCAAATGGAGACATTTCACATATTTCGCAACCACTAACAACTTTACAGCTCCATCAGTGACCACTGAAAATATTCTCCAGTTCCTTCTTTCCCTACATCAAGTAGGACTTGAACCGTCATCTATCAAAGTATACCTTGCAACAATATCACACCACAGAGGCCATATAGAAGGAGCATATTCTCACCTCACATAGAAGGAGCATATTTTCACAGCAGTTAACATGCCACTTCTTATGAGGACTCCAAAATTTACACCCTCTGATCCAATCAATCTTTCCAACATGGAGTCTTTCTATAGTCCTCCAGGTGCTAACTAAACTGCCACTTGAAGCTCTGGTTTCCATGGACTTGAGATTACTGTCTTGGAAAACTTAATTCTTGGTGGCTATAACTTCAGCAAGAAGAGTGAGTGAGTTATGTTCCCTATGAGTGGATCCTCCATACCTAAATTTCTATAAAGAAAAGATAGTTCTTTGAATGGACCCAACTTTTCTTCCAAAGGTGGCTACAACATTCCACCCAAATCAAGACATTGTTCTACCAGTATACTTTCCAGCACTGTTGACACTGATTGAGAGATCACTCCACACACTGGATGTCCACAGGGCATTTACTTTCTATTGATCTCAGATTGAGTCATTCTAAAAGACTATTCATCAGATACTTGGAACATGACAAAGCAATGCCTATAGGGCCACAATGCTTGTCCAAGTGGATGGTCGAAACCATAAAACTTTCTTACCAGCTTGCCAACTTAGAACTGCTGATCACCCCAAAGGGTCACTCGACCAGAGCTGTTGCTGCTTTGTCAGCTCTCTGTGCTGGCATACCTCTGCAGGACTTGTGCAAAGCTGCTAAATGGTCCACTCCACGTACCTTCATCCATCAGTACCACTTTGACGTTAAAGTTAGGAAAGACTGCTCCTTTGGTTGTGCTGTCCTCTCAGTTATCCTGCAACAATGACACCATTCCACTTCCTTGGGGAGGGGGGAGGTAATCACCCATTTGTGTGATGCACAGAGACCATGATGCAAAAAGGCAGGTTGCTTAGCTGCAACTGTTATTCTCCGAGTGGTCATTTGTGCACAACCAACCTGCTGGCCCCATGTCAGTGTCAGTGGATGGATTTAAACAGGCTACCTTATTTTTTCCTAATGTGTCCATACCAGTTGGGGAGTGAATGGTTGGTCTCCAGCTGGACCGGCAATATGGCGGGGACTCTGCCTATTTATATGAGGGGGAGGGGTGTGGCGTTCCCACCAAAAACATTAATAAGCTGAGAGAATTTTCCTGAATACAGGTGCTGCGCAGGCGCAGCACCCATATGTGTGAATGCACAGATGACCACTGGAAGAATGACAGTTACAGGTAAGCAACCTGTCTTTTTTTCCTCCAATGCAATAATTCTAGTAAAACCAGTTCTTGCATTCATCTGTAAGTTATCAAACAAGACATCTAGTAATATACATGCATATGTGACAGTTATTTCAGTTTATATGTGATATATAACATCTGATAAAGGTATTATTGATTATTTGATTATTGTTACTGTCATTGCCATATATGTTATCATTTCTCATGGACCTTAGAATTTCAGTAAGTAAAGAGATAACAGTGGTGGGATGGAAATGGGAAGAGACAAAGATTACAAGGAATGAATGTGGATAAATGTGGTTGGATACAGTAAGGGTTAGCTGGGGAAGAAGCTTAATCGTAAGAGTCATGATGGGGTTGAGTGTTTTATGGAATTTGAGGATGCAGAAGGGAATTTGAGAAGGAATGTGGAAAGTCCAGGAGTTAGTTTTTTCTCCTGCCAATAACTTTGCAACTACTTTGTTCTTTAGATAAAGGCACGTGGCAAGGATTTTTTTGAATATCTTTGTTATCTTGTTGCTCATGAAGCATGTCTGGAAAAGCAAACTTGTCCAGTGGCAGAAGAAAGCTGTTTTACCTCATTAACAAACTACAGGGATGGACTGGAAGACCACGCTGATTCTGATGGAACTGCTGAAATGCTGGATGCAAGCATACTCGTTGTGAGCCATGGGGCATTTATGAGAAGTTGGATTGACTATCTCGTTTCAGACCTGGGATGCACTTTACCAAGCACTTTGACAAAGACTGAACTGTTTTCTGTGAGTCCAAATACTGGAATTAGTCGATTCATTATAAAGCTGGACATGAGAGAGGGCATTAAACCTAGAATTCACTGCATTTATCTTAATAGGGTTGATCATTTACATGACAAAACAGCTGACCGTATCTAGATCATTATCTTTGTTTTGGTATGTATGAGAAAGTGTAAAAAAACTTGAAACTGGGCCTTCATTTCCTGTCACAGGTCAGCCTCTTATTTCAACAGCATGGAAACTTCAAATAACTGAATAAAGTTGGTTTACAGTAGTTTGTCTGTTATGCTTCAAAGGTTCCACAGATACTCTTACCATTATGGCACTCCTGAAGACACACAGTATTGTAGTTAGAGTTTAAAAGAGTAAATCAATAAACTGATTAAGTCATTTGACACTTTGAAAAAAATTACAGTCTACCTCAAGTTTGTGGGGAGGTTCTGTCAAATTATTTATTGGTAAGCAGTTCCCTTCTCGGATGAAAGTGATATTGTGAACTCTTTATATTATATTAGCCTGTGTCTAAAAGAAATCCTACATCACTGAGAAGGACTGAGGAATGAACAACCAACATTAATTGGGTGCACACAACACATTAAAACTTTTGGGAGTTTTAATCTTACACTTGTTAGAACAGACAATAGGGCACAGCAGGGGTTCTTCCTTCTGCTCCCCTCCTCCCACTAGGACACTAAGGGCAGCCCAAGGCCATATGAAACCCCCCTGCTGCCAAACTGGAGGATTCTGTCACAAAGTGTGCTTCCACATATCCCACCTTTAAAAATAGATTTTGAAAAAGAAAGTGAGCTACCAAGTTGGAATTTGGTATGGATAGTTGTCTGCATGAACACAATGCATTTGCCAAATTACCACTGATATCTATTTTAACTTTTAAAAAGGTTTAAACCCTAAAAGAATAATGATTGGGGTTGGAAAGGACCCTTTGCAGCCGAATCATGAGGGTTGTTCTGGAGTGCTTCTATGGCCCTGGGCTGCCCTCTCTTCCCAAATGTGGATAATACAGAGCTCAAGGGCTTTCCTAGTGACCTCCCAAGAGTAATTGGGGATAGACCCTCTCACTTTTTCCTTCTTCCAGGCCAGAGTATCCTGTTTTGGGAATGGCCAGAGTAATATAGCCTGAGAATCTGAAATGTCTGATCTTGCCTAATCTTGGAGCTAATCAGGGTCAACCCTGGTTAGAATCTGAATGGGAATCCTGAGTCCTGTCCTGAGCGGGAAGTTGGACATGAAGGCCTTCTAGACCCCTTCCAACTGTATGATTGTTTGAATTACTGCTTTAGATTTCCTTGGAAAGAAATGTTTTTAAAACACAATACATTGTTTTTTTCCCTGAGAAAAATGAGACACATTTTTTTCCTGAGAAAAATGAAATTTATTAATGCTTTCAGGGTTTTTTGCAAGATAGGAAGGATATACATGATCATAAATACTCATAAATACTTTGGAAATTGGTAAATAACTCAAATAAATAAATAAATACAGCAACATAATAATGCACTGACCACGTTTCCTATTAGAAGGTGGTGCTCAGGGCCTCTTTTTTAATTTATTATATGACACCCACATTTTAGTTTATATATTTCATAAGTAGTTCCTCCAACAGAAGAACTGTACAGTGGAGTACTCCCCATTCAAGATTTCAGACACTCTGTCTATTCCTCACCCATCCCCTGCTGTAAGTCAGTATTCCATGGCCACTCAGTATGCTCAGTCTTGGATGTGTGGTGGTTTTTTTTCTCCTAAACTTACTTTTGTAAACTTCAGGGTTTGCCAATATATGGTTAGGCACTACAGGTTTTTCTGAGTCTGCCAATGTGTTGCTCTTGTGCATGGGTGAGGTTAGATTTGCTACATTAAGAAAAGGAACTTGGAGAGTTGGGCTTGCTGTTAGTATATATGATGATACTATGGAGAAAGTCATTCTACATTTTCTGTTTGTATCAGGGTTCTATAGGCTTATTACTGTGTGGAATAACCATCCCTAACAGAAATATATTAAAATCTGATTACAAAATCTGATACTTCGTACAAGGCAAGAAACCAATTAATGAGTATAAACACATTCAATGTTTCCTTAGAAGTAGATCCCACTGAGTTCACTTAATCTCAAGTAAGTTTTCATGGAAATGAACCTTAGCCTGCAAGTACACACACACATACACACACACATACACACACTCTTATCTGAAAACAAACACCATATCTTAAATCCAACCCTCCAAAGTTGGTTCATGTATTGTCACTCTTATCCAAAGAATAGTGCAAATATGGTATACATTTTCTGGGTAATTACATAACTGATCAATTACTATGTCATTATTAATGGCCTAGTCTCTTGAACAGTTTAGTGCAAGAAAACAAAGAAACTCTGGCACTACAGGTTATGGGTATATGGTGGTAAATCTCCAACATCTTGTAGACTTATTTTCCCACTTGCAGTTTCAAGTGACCTAAAGAAGAGATTTATGCAAGGCCTAATTAGGAGAAAGAGTTGAAACATTCCAATGGAAAATTGTATGCTGCATCTCTTGTGTGGGTGTATCATTTTGATGACAGGTAAAGTATTTTGTGTTGATTTTTCCATATAAAGGGAAGAAGGGACAAGAGATATGCTAACATAACTTAAAAATTTGTGTAAGTGTTCAGACATGCAAGTTTTTACTTTCATTATGAAATGAAACGTGAGCTTCATCAAGCAGCTTGGCTCATTATGCAGATTAAAGTTGGGAATTTACATGTTGATATATTAGAATAACTTCTAGTTATTGGTATCATATATTGGTGCATTACATTTATTGCTGTGTTTAAGGACACAGCAAATAAAATTCAGAGCTCATAAGGCCACAAGAGAAGCATTGGACCTGAAGTATATTTAGCAATTTTGTTTTGGTCCATTTCCTGGTATTATTAATATACTATCTACCAAGTCACAAACTAAGACCAACGTTTGTTCCAATGTTTCAAATTCCTAATAGATACATAGCAATATGGATCAAGTAGTTTGGATTTATATCTCATTCACAGCATCAGTCATCAACAATGTGGTTCTCCTAAAAGAACTGGGCAGTGTTACATTTTTGGAGGGGGCAGGGGGGCTCCAGTTTATATTTAGTTGTACCTGAAGTTGTTTCAGTTCCATTCAGGCATAGACTTTAGTAGTACAGCTTTACAAGAGATGGCCATAGCATGGAAACTTGAGTAAACTCAAATATATAAAATTCCTTTTACATAATTGTATGTGCCCATAATTCATTCTGTACTGAATGTTCCACAATATATCTTATTCTGAACTGGTAATATGAAAATATGGCTTAATATTCTGTTAATTTTCAGGATAACAATACTTTGAAATAATTGCTCATGTTATATCCTGGTTAGGACAGAAATCAAGTTGATATCACAATGTAGTTCAAGATCTGGTATCAGTCCGAGGACTCAAAAATCTTCTTTTGAGTGTTGCACCATTTGGGTCTTCATCTTCACTATTAGAATAGGCTGGACTGTGATATGTGGATGGTTGAGACTTTGGGTTGTTTTTAGCACCACTTCCAGCTGCTATAATACTATCACAGGGATCAGTGTTGGTATCTCGGGTATGTCTGTGGGGTTTTGGTGTGTTGAACTGAACTAAAGGGATTTCATTTTGTCTGGTCAAAAACTGAGAGTAAAGTGGTAGATTCATACCAGGAAAAAGAGGTTGCTTGGCTTTTCCTAGGCTGACTAGATAATGGTACTTGGGAGACTGGTAAACATCATAACCATTTTCCAGGGTCCAGTGTTTGAAAGTGCAGTCCTCATAACTGAAGTAATGCTGAAGAAAAACAAAGAAGCACAATCAATCATGACAAGTATTAAAATCAGAGATGAAAAGTCTTGTCAATTCTCTATTGCAAATTTTGATGCTGAATGTTCTCTGGGTATTTTCCAGCTATTTGATACTTCTTAAATTTGATTTCTATGTTTTATATTCCACAGTATTTTAGAGCTGATGTGCAATAGTATTGCACATAATAGGTGATGTACCATGAAATTAGGATTTTGACAGTGTTTGAAATATAATCTACAATGCTAATTTTGAGAGGTGGTAACTTGTAAGATGTTTCATGAATGCTAAAAGAATCCAGTGATCTCAACAAATTCAAAACATTCCTCACAGTCCTAATAAATGTTTTTATTTTAGTCTATGTGCACTCTTTCTGCAAGTGATAACTGTTATTCCTCAATTATTTACAAAAAAATGAACTCAAAATTCCTGATACCGCACAAAGAAATCCATCTTCAGAACAAAATGTGTTGGAGGAAAATTAGAAATTTAGGGGAACTGGAAATTGATGAACTTCTGCACACTGTTTTGGTACTCAGTACACATGATCAACCTACCAAGTGGTTATATTCACAATATAGTGAGTTACCATTTGATAGATAGTGCCCTTTATTTTTCAGGGAAGAGGTAGATATAAAACAAGATTCCTACAATTCTCTGGTACAATATGCCTTGATTATTTGCAGCATTTGTCCAGGCACAATCAGACTGGCGGATGTTTATTATGAGTGAATGTATAGAGACAGGAGGAGGGTTTGCATATTCCAGGCAAGATTGCATCTATTAACTGTTATTAATGGCGTCACAACTATGTCAAACCAGTGTTGCACAAGACTGAAGTGGACAAATTACACAATCCTTCATCAGTTATGTGGTTTTCTGAAAAATGTGGAGTTAGAAATTTTTCCTATGCAAATTAAACTAAATTGCATACTTATTTGCACTGGAAAAAATCACTTTGCATCAGAAATTATTCAGTTTACACTGGAAAATATTCTGATGTAGATTTGATGATGTATGTCTGTAACTTTCCCCTGGAAGCATGGCAGAAGAAACTGGAAGTTGTAATCTAACACAACTGGGAAACACAAGGTTGAGGAATGCCACACTAATTAATTTGAGTAGCTCAGTGAATTGAGCATGACTTACTAACAGCTACACATTTGTTGGGATATATTCAGTTTCTATTTTACAATGAGACGCACATATATTTCAAATACACATATGTATTCTGTCACATATGTGCTAGTGATAATCATCTGAAAAGCACTGATTATTTGAAAATGCCAAATTTGCCTAATGCCAATCCACAGTTGGCACCCATTCATTCTCACTAATGAACTGATGAAATGGATACTTTCCTGCAATAAAACAGCACTGGAACCATTTCCACCAAACATCATGACTCTCCATGTTGTCTCTTGCACAACTATGGCATGCAAATTGTGATAAGAGGTGGGGGTTGGGGGCATCATACACCAGTCTTTTTTATCACATAGGAATTCAGGGTGCTGAACAAAGCTATACCAGGCAAAAGCAAAAGGGGCAGGGATGATGGCTTCTTGGGAAGCACAACTGAACTGGAGTACTGCCCTTCCCAGGTGTAGAAGCAAACTTCAACTGCCTTGGCACAAGTCATTAACTGTTTTGCTTCACAGAGAAAAGATGCCATATAATGATATAAGGAGATAAGGACTCACTGATCCAAAGATATTCCCATTCATGTCCATACACAGGTATCGTCCACTTTTTACACCGTTTATCACTACATAACCTGCACCTTCAGATTTGATCATCACAGCACCTAAAAATAAAGTTGTTAAATATTAGAAGATTATGTAATACCTCAAACCAAAGATGGTCAGCTGGTGGCCCATCACTCAGACCCTAACCCAGCTGCAGCCTCCCCCCCCCCCGCAGAACTGCTGCTGCTCACCTGCCCATGCCATGCCTCGAGGGCCTTGGGTGAAGCTGCCGCCGACAAGGATGAGGCCTGCGCCTGGCCCCTCCCCCTGCTGTCCTGCACTCCCCATGCCCCCCCCCATGTGATGCCTGTGAGAGCGGTTGAGAGTGGGAGGGACATCCTTGGCTGTTGGGGCCGTTTAGAGTTGGGTTGGGCCTGGGACTCTGTTGGTTTGCACTGGGGGGGTGGCAGGCCGGGTTGGGTAATTTTTATATATTGTTATAGTTTTATATAGAGCCAGTGGCACTCCTGCACTGGAGCTGGGCTCTGTTTTAATCCTAGCACATTAATCCTAGCATCCTAGCCTGGGTTGTTCCTGTATTGTATTTTATTATAGTTGAGTTTTAATTGTTTATGGGAGTTCCTGAAGACCTGATGGGTGCCCTCATTGGGGTGATTATGGGCAAGGGAAGATACCGCACTGGGGATTTAACACGTCATTACAGAAGGGGGGGGGGCAGATGGCTAGTATCTGGTTTCTCCTCCAACCAGAAAGTTCCAGGTAGTGATATAAGCCAGCCCTCAGGCTTAGTGCTGCTGTTGTTGAATGCCATGTTGGTCCAGAACAAAACATCTCTCATCCATCTTAATCAATGACTTAATTCCAACCTGGAATGCATTATGGAGGCATGAGTGGGAGAAGTGGGGGATGTGCCGCTCACCTATATGTGCCTGCTCAGGTATCTGGTGCTGCACTAACCCCCCTTGAGGGAAGGGGAGGGGATGTGGCCCTAATTTTCTGATATTCAATCTCCCTCACGGGGCTTCCTGTCCCTTCGAGGCTGGGTCTGGAGTGTTTGTACTTGGCATTGGATGATTGAGGCAGATTAGGGATTCTTTTTCCACAGCCCAAACTCCCAACAGTTTCATGTAGATGTTAAAAAGCATGGGGGACAAAATAGAGCTCTGCGGTACTCCATGGCATAACAGCCATGGCACAGAGTTATAGTCCCCCAGCACCACCTTCTGGAATCAACCAGCCAGATAGGAGCAGAACCACTGCCAAGCAGAGCCCCCGAACTCCTAGTCTGGCCAGCCTATCCAGTAGGATACCATGGTCGATGGTATTGAAAGCCGCTGAGAGGTCCAGGAGAACCGAAAGGGACGCACTCCCCCTGTGCCATATCTTCCCTATATAGGTCATCATACAGGGTGACCAAGGCAGATTCAGTACTGTAACTGGGTCTGAAGCCAGATTGAAATGGGTCCAGATAATCCATTTCATCCAAGAGTGCTTGGAGTTGTCCTGCCACCACCTGCTCCAACACCTTGCCCCAAAACGGGATGTTGGCCACTGGTCTCTAATTGGTGGCTACCTCTGGGGTCAGGGATGCCTTCTTCAGGATGGGCCTGATCACTGCCTCCTTTAAAGGGGCAGGGACCTGGCCCTCCTTCAGTGAGGCATTGATGACCTCTTGGACCCAGGGACCAATCCCATGACTTGCTCTTGTAAGTAACCAAGAAGGGCAAGGGTTGAGGTGGTTGGGCATACCATCCCAAGCTTCTTGTCCACTTCCTCAGGCTGCAGGAACTAAACTCATCCAACAGAGATGGACCAGATGGCGCTCTAGACACCTCCAGTTCTGGAAACATATCAATTGTGGAGTCCAGCTTATGGCGAATCTGAGCGATTTTCTCCTTAAAGTGCTGGGCAAAGTCATCACAACAGGCAGTTGAGGTGGCATCTCGTTTTTGTGGAGGCAATGGAAGTGAAGAAGTATTGCCTCTTTGCCGCCCTCACTGCCACAGCATAGGCTCAATAGTGAGCACATAAGTGTGTTCAGTCAGATTTGTCCTGTGATTTTCTCCACCTGAGCTCTAATCGTCTCCCAGTCTGCTTCATCGCCTGCAACTCTGGCATATACCATGGTGACGAGCGGGCTCCGCTAGTCGGGAGAGGACACTTAGGAGCGATCATGTTGATTGCCCTAGTCATTTCCCCATTCCACAAATCTACCAGGACATCAACAGGAGCACAAGCTTTATCCACTGGGAAATCCCCCAGAGCCCTCAGGAATCCATCCAGATCCATAAGACTCTGGCGGCGGACCATTTTAATAAGGTCTGCACCCTTCTGGAGGGAGAGATCAGCTCCAAGCTCAAACCTCACAAGGAGGTGATCTGACCATGACAAAGGAGTTAAGGGCAGATTCCCCACTTCCAGATTACCCTCTTCCTGCCCCGTCGAGAAAACCAGGTTCAGAGTGTGACCCCTTTCATGGGTTGGGCCAATGACATGTTGAGACAGCCCTATAGGATTATTGTAACATTTTCTATGGGGGGCTGCCCTAGAAGATGATCCAGATACTTCAACTGGTTCAGAATAGAGCTGCCAAGATGTTAATGGGGACCGGCAAGTATTCACATATAATGCCGGTCCTTTACTACTTACACTGGCTGCCAGTTGAAGAGCAGGTCCAATTTAAGGTGATGGAGCTGACCTATAAAGCCCTAAATGGCTTGGGTCCTGGATGCCTGAAGGAGCACCTCCTTTACTATATGCCTTCCCACCCCTTGAGATCTGAGGCACAGGTCCTTCTTCAAGAGACCTCCTTGAAAGAGAGTAGGAGGGTGGTTCCTCAGAGGAGGGCCTTCTTTGTGGTGGCACCCCAATTATGGAATACACTCCCAAGAGAGGTTCACCTAATACCAATGCTCTTTTATTTTTTGCTCTTTTAAAACCCCTCTCTGAGAGAGGCTTCTCTGTGTTGGCGCCCCAATTATGGAATATGGTCTCAAGAAAGGCTCACCTAGTACCAATGCTCTTTCATTTTTGGCGCCAGGCAAAGCCCCCTTTATTTTCCCATTATTTTAATGTTTAATCAGTTTTAATGTGGATTTTATAGTATTGAATTACTGCATGCTGTGCCATTTTATTTGCCATTTTATCTGTTGCTTGTTGTAAACTGTCCTTAGATGCCAGTAGATGGATGGTCTATAAAAGCTTTAAATAAATAGATATTATTTGTACATATAGGAGTACTTGGCTTAGGCAGGGAATATGCAATTCTCTGCATATTCCACCCTAGCCCAGGCTCCCTCTTCCCTGCTCCTGCTTTCTTTGCAGCTGAGAAAGCAAGCTAAATGAGGATGTACAAATAATGAATCCCTGTCAAGGGCACAAGCCAGCTCATTGTCCCCCACTAGCACCTGAGAGGCTTCCTCTCCGGCAGGGGTAGGGGAATCAGCTGATGACCACTGCTCATTTCAGCAGCACTACCCAGCTGATTACGCACCATCATGCATGAGAGTGAGCTGGCATCCCCTTTGGAGCAGGAGAAAAGGGTGCCCGATCCCTTTCCTCAACTTCACTACTGTGTTTCAGGGCGCAGGGCACGGGCCCTGTTTGTACAGTAGAGACTGCTTGCCAGCAGCAGTGGGCCAAACCTGGCTTATGATAATGGCTATCAAACAAGGGAACCTCATTCCTCCTCACAGTGTCCATGTGAAGAGCTGACAAGCAGAATTGGAACAGAGCTATTTTTTAATTTATCTGGAGGGCAGGACTAGACCCAAATACTGCAGGGAAGTTTCCAGCTAAACATCGAGGCAATTTCAACAAACCATAGAAGAATTTTTTAAATGGTAAGAGCTGCTCAATGGTAAAACCAGATTTTTTTTAGTGTGATTTTTTTTAGATTTTTTTTTATATGTGGATAGCCATAGTTCCATCTGCATTGCAAGTCTTGCATTGATGTCTTTAAGGCTACTTCCAAATTAATGCAAGGGAAACCTTCCAAGGACAGCCAAACTTAAGACTGGCTGGCTTCACAACTCATGATAAGCAACCCTGCAGGGTTACCACAGTTCGTTGTTTTTTACCTTGGGCCTGAGAAACTATCAGGCTCATTGTGAACACTTTCCCCTCCTTCTCCCTCCTAGCATCTCCTTCCCTCCACTTGGTATCCTGGGGTGTACCATGGGGACAAATGAAGCTCCTTTGAATTAGGCTGATGCTTCTATCAAACAGTTTCTGTTGCACAAACAGGCCTCATGCACCTAAGTGCAGCACTGAAGACGGGGGTGCTGATCAGGCCTTCTGCTCCAGGGAGGAATGCTGGAGCAGGAAAAGGTGCCTGATCCAGGCTCAGGGAACAGGAGACACGACAGCTGCAGGGTAAGAAATTCTCATGTTTCAAAGTATTCAGGGCACTCCTTCTGAACCAATTAGTACCTCTACTACCTGAGGAGAGATTGAAATAATTGGGAAAGTTTAGCCTTGAGAAGCAAAGACTGAGGTGAGATAGGATAGCATAGCACTCTACAAGTACTTGAAGGGTTGTCACAAAGAAAAAGGACAGGATTGCTTCTTGATCAACCCAGAGTGCAGGACACGGAATAATGGGCTCAAGTTACAGGAAGTTATTCCGGCTAGAAATCAGGAAAAATTTCCCGACTGTTAGAGAAGTACTGCAATGGATCCAATCAGCAAGGGAGGTTCCGGGCTCTCCCACACTGGAGGCATTGAAGATGCAGTTGATTTGTCATCTGTAAAGGATGGTTTAACTTTGAGTCCTGTACTGAGCCAGTGATTGCACTTGATGGTCCTCTGGCCCCTTCCAGCTCTATTCTTCTGTGATTCTAAAGCATGGTTTGCCACCACAGACCTGCTTCCACATGCTCAGCTGAAACCTGGCTTCCTGTAATTTGAGCCTGTTATTCCATGTCCTGCACTCTGAGATGAATGAGAAGAGATCCTAGCCTTCCCCTGTGTGACTACCTTTATAGAACTTGGAGAATACTATTATGCCTCCTCTCAGGCTTCTCTTCTTGTAGCTAAACAAAGCAGAGCAAATTGGACAAGTGTTCCCCGCACTTCCTCATCCAAATCATTAATAGAAATGATGGAGAGCACTGAGCCCCAGTTTTAGAAGGCACCATGGATGAGCATGCTTATGAGTCCCATTCTGTAGCCAACTATGGAGCCACCTGATGGTTGTTTCCTCTAGCCCACTTTTAGCTAGTTTGCTAATCAGGATATTGTTAGGCACTTCATCAAAAGCTTTGCTAAAATCAAGGTATATTATGTCTGCACTCATTCTTGACTAATCCCTCTTGGGTTCCAGTAATCACTGCATTCATTTCATTTCAAGGTGTTTGCAGACTGACTGCTTCATAATCTGCTGCAGAATTTTCCCAGGGATTGGTGACAGACTGACTGTCATCAATCATTCCCAGGTTGTTCTTCTTTTCTTTTCTTGAAGATGGGGACAACATTAGTCCTTCTCCAGTCATCTGGCACTTCCTCTGTCCTCCATGACTTCTCCACTATTAAGACAGTGGATAGTAGATTTGGAAGGGGCCATGAAGGCCATCAGGTCCAACCCCCTGCTGTTGCAGGACACCACGTTACACCATCCCACTCAGATGGCTGTCCAGGTTCTTTTTGAATGTCACTAGTGAGGGAGAGCCCACCTCCTCTCTAGGCAGCTGGTTCCCCTGTTGTATTTCTCTGACAGTGAGAAAGCTTTCTGAGATGAAGGTTCTGAGAGTTCTTCTGCCAACTCCATTATTACTCTAGGATAGAGTTCACCAAGCCCTAGGGAACTGAACTCCTTCAACCCAATTGGACGATTGGGGTCATAGAGTTTGGGTGTTTCCTTTGATGACTGCCCTGTATGCAGCAATGCAGGCAAGAATGGACCGGCCAAGGAGGAGAACCTTCCAAAAGGAGAATATTGAAGACTGGATCCTGTATCCACAGTGTTGGATGTATTTCAGGCCTGAGGGACTGAGCCATTTGGAGAGTTTGATTGGCAAAATGACCCATAATCTCAAAGGGGGAGATGACATCTTTTATTCCATTATTGTCCAGTGAGGGCACTGATGGGGCTGCCACCAAGCACAAAGCAAAATCTTTTATTTCTTTGCACTGATCATTCTAATGGTACTTTTTGTCTCTAAGTGATTACTGCTGAAAAGTTGCATTCAGTATTCTGACCTTATTTCTATCACCTTTTGCTTCTTGCCCATCCTTAGCAACTGTGAGAGAGTATCTTCAGTCATTCATGTAGGCTAATTCCTTCCTTTTGCTATAGGAAATGTCTTTTGGTTTTCTTCTCAAAGAATTACCTTTGGCTTCTGTCCTCAGTTCTTTAGTCTCAAGGTCAATTGACTTCAATAACACTACTTTCATTGGAAGCTCAGGTGACAGCAGCGGTGAGGAGCGCTTTCCTTCAGCTTCGGCTGATTCATCAGCTGCGCCCCTACCTGGAGTACGACTGCCTGGCGACAGTGACACACGCGCTGGTGACTTCCCACCTTGACTTCTGTAACGTGCTCTACGTGGGGCTATCCTTGAAGACGGTCCGGATACTTCAATTGGTTCAGAATAGAGCTGCCAGGCTGCTGACGGGGACTGGGCGTTATGTTCACATGACTCCAGTCCTCCGTCAGCTTCACTGGCTTCCCATTGAAGTCCGGGCCCAATTCAAGGTGTTGGTGATGACCTATAAAGCCCTAAATGGCTTGGGTCCTGGTTACCTGAAGGAGCGCTTACATCCATATATGCCCGCCTGCCCCTTGAGATCTGCAGGAGAGGCCCTTCTCCGGGACCCCTCCGTGAAAGAAATTAGGAGGGTAGGTACTCAGAGGAGGGCTTTCTCTGTGGTGGCGCCCAATCTATGGAATGCGCTCCCCAGAGAGGTCCACCTGGCGCCGTCGTTATTTGTTTTTCGGCACCAGGTGAAGACCTTTTTATTCAAACGTCATTTTAATTGTTAATAGTATTTGCTTATTTTATCTGGCCAGGGCGACTCATTTTATATTGTTACTTATTTTATATTGTTATTTTTTGTATTTTAACTTTATGTTGTGAGCCGCCCCGAGGCTTCGGCGAATGGGGCGGCATAGAAATGTTTTAATTAATAAATGAATAAATAAATAAATACTCTGTTCTTCATGTGGAATTTCTTATGTGAATTTCTTCAGGAATCTTCTTTAACTTTTATGTTGGCAGTATGCTTCTGTAAGTGGTCTTTTGGGCTTTTTTAAGTTCATGGTCATTACCACAATCTATTCTTGCTATTGCTTTAGCAGCCGGAATAAGCTTCTCCATCTCCTACTTCCAATTGCCTAGTCCCCAAATCCAGTCTTGCCATGGAATGACCAGATTTGTACTTTGAAAACAGATAAGGTTAGTATTCATCTCTTCTGAGTGCATAAGCATGTAGTCCTTGACTTTCTTCCATACAAATAAATGGTTGCCATTTATGAAAAACAGTTTCTAATTTCCCTGAAATTTTGAGGTGAAATATCTTTTCAATTTTTGAGTTTCCTTACATTGCAGCAAAGTGAGATATACATGAGATACACAATAATGTAGATCATATTACTGTGTTGTGAGTCAGCATATATGTGACATTTAGGATATGTCCCAGTCAAGGATAATGGGACTTTGGTTGGATTATTCCATTAGTATTATCCATTAGGGTTCAAATCCTTCCTTGTTACAGGACAGCAACAAAAGAACAGATCAGCTCTTAGGCTGCTCACTCTTTGTCATCCAACTGCTACATGTATAATAATAAAATGTTTAAGAAATAACAAGCAAGAAATGGAGACAATAGCCTTCTCTGTTTGTTCTTGGCTTTTAGTATTCAGAGGTCTCCTCCTCTGAATAGGGAAGTGTCATTTCACTATCACAGCTGTTGGTAGGCATCCAGAAATAGGTTTAACACTTTTTCCCTCTCTATCCCCATCTGCCAGTTCAGAAGAACTTTTCACGTATCTGTTGAAAAGGACTTTGGTCAACTTTTGTTAAAGACTTTAACTTTTAACAAGCCTTTAACAAGAGCCTACCGTTTTTCTGCACCAGAGTCTAACACAGACTCTGAAATCACCATATCTGGTGGCAACAAATTCCAGTACATATTGTCGATTTTGCCTATTCAGAACCTTAGCACATTTCATGGGGAAATGTTCCTTATACAGTTTCTTCACACAGTTCATAAACTTTGTATTATATTCTCCCCACCCTTATTGCCATGGTACTTACTGTAAATTGTTTGGGAAGGACTTCCATCCACATGTCCATTGGAGTTAATTTGGAGGTGGAAGCTGTTTCTTGCTGTGGATGTGTACAAATGCAGCAGGCTATCTGTATTTCCCCAGCTGGGGTTGAGCAGTGGCGAATCATTAGAAAAAGCAGTAACTGCCTTCCAATCATACATTGCAAGCAGTATGAATTTCAGGAAACTGTACTGAGTAACCTGGAACATGGTGCTCCTTTCGTAGTGGCTGCAACGGGACTTGATCCTTTGTGTGTGTTTGTTGTTTCCTCTGGGTCCCCCTTCCTTTGGAATGTTAATCTTCAAATGGGTTTCCTACAATTTTTGCAGCAGCTTTATAAAGGGTGGCTGAATGACCTGTAGGAGGGAGAGAGAGAGAGAGGCATCTCCCTTTTTTTGCAATACTAGTATTTTTGGAGTGTCCTGAGACCTCAACAATGCTGTAGGGAGAGAGAGATGCACTTAGGTTTCTTAGGGGGGTGTATGTGGTTTCCAAATTAAGGTTTTGGATACTAATAACATGTTCAAATGTTATCTGAAGCAACAACAACTCTGACATCAGAATGCTTCCCACTGAGGGAATCTGGATCAACCTTTTCCTTTCCAACTAAACGACATCCTCATCTCGCCTTCTCTTAATGAGATTTCTGTAAAGCTGGTGCAACAAGCATAAACCCAGAGAATCTAGGTCCATTTGACTCCTTGATATGGTCTAAGGCATTTTTGCTACATAAATGATTGCGCCAGAGCTAAGAAGCAAATGTTCATAAAGGGGCTTAGTGTAAGAAGAATGAAGACTACTTAAAGATATTTGTTACAAATTGTAAAACTCTTAGGGTGCTTCCCAACTTGTTTCCCCTCCTTACTTAATCATTGCTTTTCTGCTGCACGTGGAATGGCAATTGACTTTCCACACTTCTTAAGGAAACTCTTTGTGTTTGCATATATTCTTCTATTCTCTGTCCATATTTAGTGGGCATGTCATAAGCCATATGGTTTGGGAAGGGACAATTCACTTTAGCACGCTATTTTTTTTCAAAAATAAATAAATAAATAAATCTTTTAGACATTTCTACTAGAGTGCTTTTTAAAATATCCGTACTACTTCAACATTACTTCAGTGTTAAAAAGTAGTAGGAGAAAGAAAAATTCAAAATAGAACAAATAATGCAGGGATAAAATGATGCTTACCAGAAAAGCAGTCTTTTAAAAATTTGCACTAAAGTACACATTAATTACTATTGCACAGATATTTTAATTTTTAATAAGAAGTGGAAATTAAAAGATCACTTAAGGGCACAATCAAATTAGACTGCTCATAACCCTCCAAAATTATGGGCATCATATACATGGCAGAAGGTTCACTGAGGCAAAAGATTGCCTCTTCACTCCAACCACCAAGTTAAACACCCAGACAGCTGATTTTGGCTAAGTGCTTGTTTTGGAGCAGGAGGGAAGTTACAAGATGCTGCTAAGGTGCTGCATATGCTGCCAACATTTGTCTCTTCTCCTGCATGTCTCCCTTTGTCTCGCGAAAGCCCATCTTTGAAGTGACTCTTTGATTGTTCTTTCCATGGTGGCTCTGAAGGAAGACTGAGGTTCAGAGTTCCAGCAGTGGCCAAGGAGGAAGCATCCAAGGCTGAAGCTGGGACTCCGAATAATCCTGTGCATTGCATGTTAGAACCAAGTACAATGGTGCCAACAGCAAAGAAGGGATGCAGGTAGAGATGTGTGAAGTTAGGCTCAGATGCCTGGTATGTCACACATCAGAGATATATTTGTTTAAAAAGATAGAAGAGTAACACTAAGGAGATCCATTACTGCAGAGGTGTCTCTATTGCTGAATGCCTATTTTTTAAGGTTGGGTTATCTGCCATCTTCAAAAGACTGTAAGAAATACGGAAAACCCAGAGGTACAACAATTTGATGACAGTATCATATAGGCAATATCATGTAGATGCTTCATAAAATAATTAGCACAGTGAATCTACAGTAAATGTGAAATGTGGAGGCACATGTGAAAGATTTTTGGTCTGAGGTAGCTGGGCATGTCACTTTGAACTTTAAACTCTGTTTGCTGAACTTTGTAAATGTAATAACTGGGTATATTCTAGATCTGTGGACTCTGTCAAAATTATAGCATTCCAGGCTTGCATATTTCTAATTAGGCTATTTTTAATTAGCCTGTATTTTTAATTAATTAAAACTTTAGAACTGAAAATGTGGAAAACCAAGGATCTTTGGATAATCAAACACACAAGGCAAAAATGCCAAATTTTGACACACATGGAATATATAGTTAACAAAACTATTAGGTTCTGGAAATTTTTCAGAAATGAAATTCAGATTTAGAATTATTCAACAGTAGAACAAGTTCATGTGTAAAATCACACCCTGAAATCCCTTCTTGGTTTTCTTTCATCTAGATTTTGCACTTTAAAACATAGTTTTCTTCAATCCAGGTTCTTCTTCAATTTTAGATGACAATTTTTGCATTTTGTGTAGTTTATAATTATTCATACTGGTTGAAAATTTGTTCTTTTATTTCCATATTTTGCATGGATATTTTTTGTGCACAGTAGCCTTATTCAGGCATTTTGACAACTGCTAACACTCATCAAGAGAGCAAAGTAGGCCCCTCTCCTGACATCACATCACTGTATAGCTGTGTCCGAAGGCATCCACACATGCAGCATGAACACTTGCAGTCATGGGGGTCCTTGGCATGTAGGTTTCCATAGGATTCAGAATTTTAATTGCAGTTTTTTGAACTGTGTGGAAATCTACACACATGCAGCTGTGCAAGCAAAGGCCTTCTCATTGCAGGCATTCGGGCCCCATGGATGCCTTGGGGCAGTGTTGCATGGGGAAGTGAGATTAAGATGTAAGCTCATATGCGTGTGTCTGAAGTTTGATTATGTGTGTTCCAAAGGCTATTTTTGTGTGCATCTGAGAATTCCTGTCTTATTTTAATTATTATTATCATTTGTGATGCATATGTGTATATGGCTCAAGGTGTCTGTGTATGTGTGAATGATGAGAGAGGGCTGTGTATGTGTTTGTGTATGTGACGGGGGAGTCTATATGTTTTTGCAAAGATTGGCTTTACAAAGGATATATTTGTAATAATGTTTATTATCCCATGCAAAGGTATGCAATAACTTGAGCAAGTCAATCTTTTCTTCAATAAAATATACATAATCTGGAATTTTGTAGCATGCTCCTTTTGAATAAGCCTGCTCTAGTGGATTTTTTGTGACAGGTATACAAAGGCATGGGTGGTTTCAGAATTTGCTCCTGTGTTTTGTGTGGCTTTGAAAATATCACTTCTTAATTGTTATTACCATGGTTATTAAGGCTGTATAGATTCTTCCCTCCAACTCATCATTTCAAGATCACTTGATTCTCTCTGGAAATTGTTGCTGGAACAGAAAAATGTCCAAAGGAAGTACTTTCATGTAGCTGTGTGATTTCCCCACTCCTTTAGCATGTTTTATGTCTCAGTTTTCTCTTTTTGGGGTATGGGTTGCTGACTGCTCTACCTCTGCTGTTGTCCTGGCTCTGCTTCTGCTGTGTCCTATTGCTCAAACTGGCCACTGACCTCTCCTGAGTGTGGGAGTCAAGTACAGAGAACAATGGAATAAAGAAAGGCTATAAATGATTAATAATAGACAGTATGCTAGCATTAGAGGACAACTTATTATTGCATTGCATTTATATCTTATCTTTTTTTCCTTCTTGTGAGAATTAAATTTTCAAATGTGCCTTTTCAGGTAGGATCAATAAACGTAATCTTAAGTATGGATGGGCAAAAGTTGGAATTCCAAATATTGTGAACTTCAGTTCGTCATCATAAGCCATGCTGGTCAAGGCTTATAGGCGTTGAAGTCCAAAGCATCTGAGGATCTCTCTTCTGTCCACCTCTAATGGGTGAATCCTGTGGGCATCAGCTGGCTGAAGAGTTTTGCACTCTAATTCAATAGAGTTTGACATCCTTTTGATTCTGATGCTACAGAAATACAAAAGCACCAGTGTTTCAGGATGTAACAGAAGGGAATGAATATGCCACTTATCAAATGAGTTTACATGCCCTTTCCCAAAAATTAAAGATAGCAGTGCACTTTACCAAGAAAGTGCTGCATAATCAGTTCACATCTTCAGGTGTGTGTATACCAGTGATCTCAGAGTCTCTTAGGGGGGAAGGGAATAGAATTTAGAAAAATAGAAACATGGAAAGTGAGCGGGTCTCCAGGGTCATCTAGTCTGAGCCAAAGCTCCAGCTGGCTCCGCTAATGACATGCCTACCATGTGCATATCTAGCCTATTCTTGAACACGCTCTCCGATGGGGCTTCAACCACCTTCTGTGGAAGCCCATTCCATATCCTGGGGATCCTAACTGTCAGGAAGTACTTCCTGGCATCCACCCTAAATTTTGGTTCCCTGAGCTTTGCTCCATTGGAACATGTCCTGCCCTCCTCTGCAGGAGAAAACATGTCTCTACGCACTCCATGTGGCACCCCCTCATGTACCTATATGTTACCAACAGATCGCCTCAGAGTCTCCTCTTCTCCAGGCTGAAAAGATCCAGTCCCCTCAGTCTTGCCTCATACAGCTTTCCCTGCAATCTGGCCACCATCCTTTTGGCCCTACGCTGCACTGACCCTAACCTGGCTATATCCTTCCTGTAATGAGGGGCCCAAAACTGTACACAATACTCCAGTTGTGGGCACACCAGAGTTGTATAGAGTGGCAATAATACCTCTATTGATCTAGAAGCCACGCTTCTGGATATGCAACCAAGGGTTGGAGGGTCAAGAGCAGATACTGGGTTCAGTTCAGAGGGTTTAACATGCTGTGCTAACAGCTATCCACATTCACTCATGCTTGAAAATGTCAGCAACTGAACAGTAGTTAGGGCAGCATCCATTTGGAGTGGTACCCGATGCTGCAGTTAGTTTCAGCTTCAGCTTCGCCATTACTTTGGAACCTAGATAGCTGGTAGCAACAAAGTGGTGGACCTAAGTGGAACAGATTTACCTGTTCATTGGAACAGACAGATGGAATCCATACAACTTCCACTGCATATTACATGTATCAGCTAGCAGCCTGTACCCTCCACACAGAACAATAAAATTGTCATCTAGTCCACCCTCTGCCATGAATAAAGCACTTTACAGTGTCTTTCATTTTAGCCAACTAATGTGACAATACCGTATCTACTTATCCAGGAGATAGTCCCTTTAAATTCAAAGGTTTTTTTTTTTTTTAAACCTTTGAGATGACATGCATTGGATTGCAGTACGCGTAAGAGAAGGAATAGGTCAAGGACTGCTAGCACATTATATATGGAGGTGGAGTGATGTTG